GTTTGAGTCCTCGACCTGGTGTCTTTCCTTCTCTCTCTCTCTCTCTCTCTCTCGTCAAATTAAAATGAATGAATAAATAAAATTAAATGAATAATTCTTTAAATTTCACAGACAAAAAAATAACAAATGAATGACTACTCTAATTTCCCATTAGTTGATGTCCTAGCCTCTGTTCACTGAGGTGAAGGCACTGCCTCACTCACTGGAAGATCTGGCTAAATCATCCGGGTGAGACACTCATCTCCTCAGAGACCTTAGAAGTCTGAGGGGGCAGTTCCTCTCACCAGCCATTCTTAATAATTACATTGAGAAATAAGGGTATGTTTGCACGTTTTCCCACCAAGTTCTCAATCAAATGCACAGACAGGCCACCTGAGCATATTTGTTCAGCCACACCTCTCCCCATACCCTTGGGGCCTACGGGACCAGGGTTTCCAGTCGAGAGCTTTCCCCAAGACCAGCAGCTGCTCCCCATTCTCACCCTAAGTTTCTACAGTAGAATGAGGCTGGGCAGTCTTGGGTCTGCATGAAATTTGACTTTGACACTCAACGGGAGGGCTGTGTGACCTTGGGTATGTTACCAAAGCACCCTAGGCTTGCGCCTCCTCAAGTTCCTAGCCCTAGTACTGCCATATAGATAAATAAATCCACTTCCTTTTGACCTTTGCACACATTATTTGTGAACTATGAAGTTAGTGTTCTTTTCTTTCTTTTTATTTTTTTTTAAGGTTTTTGTTATAGTGTGTGTGCACTTGCCAGAGAGAGAGAGACAGAGAGCGAAAATGAGAAATCACCTCCCAGGGGCCATACCGAACCCCTTCACCTCCATTCTCCTCCTGGAATTTTGGACATTACACGCACATGAGCCTGGTGTGATTTTCTTTTCTAAGAATTATTTTATTTAACTTTATTTATTTATTTAATTTGACCACAGAGAGAGAGAAAGTGAGAGGACAAAGTGAGAGAGAGAAAGCCATGAGGTCCGAGACTCAAACCGCAGTTGGCCATGTGGGAGTCCAGTGCCCTTAACCACCATGCCACCTGCTGGCCCCAAGCCTGGTGTGATTTTCAAGCTAACAGGTCCAAGATTCGAACCATGGTTGGTTGTGTGGGAGTCCAGTGCCGTAACCCCCATGGCTGCTTGCTAGCCCTGAAGTTAGTATTATTTCAAGAAAGCAGAAACTGAGGCTTGGAGAGGTGCCCTTTCCAAGGCCACTACTGATTCTGGGGAGCCGGTCCATCTAACTCCATTGCCCAGGAGATGCAGAGGCATCCAGGAAACTAACCAAGCTCAGTGCATCCAGGGACATGGGCTCACTTAGAGCTGCACGTCCGTGAGGGTCACTCCAGGTGCTGGTCTGCGGTCTAGGAGCCTGTGGGCTTGAGGCCTCCTGGTGGATAGACAGACAGGCAGGCAGGCAGGCGCGTGCTTTGGACCACTGTTGGCTCTGTGGACACTGCCTTGCTGTGCTGGGTAAACGACACACTTTCCATGCCCGCCCCCCAGGCCTGTCCACTCCCAGAGTCTATTTAAGCCAGAGGCCCCCACTTCGTCCAGACACAGCCAGCTTCCAGAGCCAGGAGAGCAGCACTGCAGCTCTGCCACCCAGGGATGAAAGGTCCTTCTGTTTCACCATTTCCTACCGGTGCGTTTGTGAACCATGCTGCGTTGGGTTGCAAAGGGAGCTGATTCTGCTTGCCTGAGAGTATATTGAGGTGTGGAGCTGACAGAGGGAGGCTCTGATTGAATTTTTCCCATTTCTAATCTCTGACTTGACGGGATCTTATTTTCAAAGAGGGAGAAAGGCTATAGTTTTTGAAAGGACAGGGAAGAGCATATTTCAAAACAAGGTCTGGCTCAGAATCTCAATGTTCTGCATGTTTTCTTTTTCTTTTAAGAAGAGAAAAGGGCCTATAATTTCAAGGTTGTAGAAATTCCATTTCCCCTCAGGAACCCCTCCCTAGACAGTCAGTTCCTGTCATTTAATACTATTTTGAAAAAAAAAAATGCAGGCTATTTTTCAGAAGAGTTTGATTGGGGGCGAGTAATCTGCGCAGCTGGCGGGAGAACAATTTGGGGAATGTCAGAGGCTAAAAACCTTCCTAACTTCTCATTGAGAAATGAGGAGTGAGTTTCTCCCCACCAGGAGAGAGGGCAGTGGGGGCTAGAAGTTGCACTGGCCCGGTGGCCCAGTAGAGGCCTGCCTTTTATATCCACTTTTAGATACTTGCTAGCCTGTGGTCCAGGGTCGATCAGTCCAGAAGGAGGGCGAAAGACATTCACACAGGTCCTCAGCCCGCTGAGAGTGAGGAGGCAGGCATGCGAGGGACATGAGATGGCCTCCAGGATAGCAGGCCATCCTCTGACTTCCCAGCAGTCAATGGGGGAGAGAAGCATGCTAGGTACTTAGCTCAGAGTGAACAGGCCGGGGAAATTCCTAAGAAACTAGGGCAATGGGACTAGCAGTAGTTAAGGTATTGGACTCCCACTTAGTGGTTAAGGTGCTGGACACCCACATAGTTGACTGCAGTTGGGTCCTGGACCCAGCAGCTTGACACTCATGTCAGGTGCATGTGCATGCATGTCTAAAGTCCCAAGAGGAGAATGGAGGAGAAGGGATTGCGGCGTGACCATCCTTCTGGGTGGGTGATTTTTCACTTTCCTCTCTCTGTATCTCTCTGTCTCTCTGGTGAGTGCACATGCCCTATAGCAAAAATCTCTTTTTAAAAAAGAGGGGATCCTACGCCATCACATGCAATATATGGATCTTGGGGACTCTGGCTTCCTTCTTCCCACTCTGATCTGGCCACAAATACTTATGTTCCTTTGGTACTGACCATAGCCATTCAAGGTTTCACAGTGGCCCTGGTGTTACAGAAGAGGGGGTGGTACCTGAGGCTCAGAGGTTAAGCGACTTGCCCAGACCATCCAGCTGTTTAACAGTGTCTAGAATACAACCTGGTCTCACCAGAACCCACATCTTTTCTCTGTAGATTCTTTTCTATGTAGAAGGGAGTGACTATTTGCCACAGAGGAGACACTCCCACCAGCACCTCTGCCTGTCTTTGGCCAGGGGACAGAAAATGGATTGAAACTCAGATTTCAGATTTTTCTGAGACAGTTTTGGTGATCTGTGAAATAAGTATATATGAGGAGGGACCTTGAGGAGTGAGGTCACTCTCCTTGGGATATGGGGGGTGGTAAGAGGGCAGCTGAACTGTTTTGAGATGATGGAGAGCACATGGAGAGCCATGCGGAGCAGGGGCTGAAAAAAGCCAGACAGGGCCTGAGGTCAGGGGGTGGGACTTCGGGGCAAAGGATTTTACCTAGGTCTAGAAGGGGAACTGAAGAGTTGGGACAGGGCCTGAGGCCAGGGAACGACATCAGAGAGCTGCACAAGATCAGGGATCAGGGGATGCGGCAACACCTGAGGGCAGGGCAGAGCTAGAGGGGCAGAGACAGAGGCTAGGCCTACAAACAGGGACTGGGGCCTCAGTGTAGGAGGGCCGTGTCCCCAGGATACAATGTCAGGATCCCTGGGCTGGGTCAGCAAGGGGTGCACGGAGCCCTTGTCATCATGTCCAAAGGCCTCCGCTCACTTGATCCCTCCTCCACTATCCCCCCTTTAGGCCTCCATGGATTCACTCAGCGTCTCAACTGAGACTCCCTCCCCCAGCTTGTCTACTGCCTCCTCTTACCTGCTGCCAGATCCCTCTAGTTCTCCGAGCGGCCTCTTACCCCTTGTTATTCCCATCTCAGTGGCCGCTGACCCTCTTCATGGATCTGGGATTAGCTTTTCCCCACCTGCAGGTATCTCTTTGAGGCAGAGATTGCAGGAAGCTCTGATTGTTTCAGTTCTCCTATCAGATCAAACCCAGGCAGCAGCCAGATCCCTGAAATTGCCTTTCCACCGGCTGCCATGCCCGCACTCTGGACTGGCCTAGGTCCATCTGTCCACGTGGAGGGTTCAATCCGTCCCATCCTGGTGTCCTCCCCACCTGCCAGGTCTCTTCCCCCATGTCTGTCCAGGTCTGCCACACAAATCTCCACCCCCTCAGGCTGCACTTTGTCTGCAGGGATGTAGGGACGGGCAGGCCCACGCCCTTGCCCTGGCAAGAGAGGGTGTGGCGGTACCTGTAGCACAGGTGGGGCCCCTCGGTCTTTGTACCTGGCTCACCTGCTCTGTGCTGCTCTGAAGCTACGGGCTAAGTTCCGGAGATTGTTCGAGCACTTCTGAAAACTGCTTATCTCCTTTCAGGTCCTGATTCTGTGGTGGCATCCCATTTTCAGAGGGAAGAACAAAATCCGAGTGACTCCCTCCTCAGGTAAGACCGAGGCTTCTGGAACCACCAGAGCGGAGTGGGCGGTTCTACTCCAGGCCTCTCCCCACCAGCTGCTTGTTAATGTTTTATATAAAGAGATGAGCTTGTTTGAGCAAAGATTCTGCTGCTTGGTTAAAAGGTCTGAGAACCACAGCTGTGGAATAAGCAATCTGGAGCATACCTGTTGGGTCCCATCCCGAACCCCCTCATGGGGAGTATAGTGCCAGCCCTAGGGGGGTATGTCTGCACACCCCATCTCTGAAGAAAAGGTGAACTCCTTCAATACATAGGCAAGCACTTCAGCACTTCAGAAATGTGAAGGGGTATGAGTTAAAAATCCTGGAAAATGGAACTAGATGTCACCGCCCAGTACATCAGCAGAAAAATTAATGCTGAAACAATTGCTAGTAAAGATGTGACACCATCTTGGTAGAAGCAGTTTGGCACTGTATATCAGAAACTTTATTATTCATTGAGTAATCCTTCTCTTGACTCCATCCTAAAGAAACAATGTAAATTATTGGGGCTTTCTCAGGATAAAAAGCAGAAATTAGCAACACAGTGACCACCTGACAGGCAGGAGCCTTAGACCAGGACCCAGCATAGCAAGACCATCTCAAAACCCACCCTTTCCCATATAATGACAAATTAGTGTTTTTAGGATTATCAGTGAGGGCACCAGGCTGGAGGCCAGGATATCTGGGAGGTCCAAGCTGGTGGTGACTGGAGGGAAGAACAAAAGGGGGAGATGGATGAGCCCAGCAGACCCCAGAGAAGGAAAAAGATCAGTGGGGTCTTCACTAAGGGCTCTGGGGGTGGGGATGGCAAATATAACCTTTGGGAGACTGAAAAAAGGGGCAAAGATCTGGTTTCATGGGAACTAAGGGGGAAGAATAAAGGTGAATAGCTAGTAACTACATTATCCCTCTGCCAGGAACTTGTCCTGGAAGTAAGAGCGAGTTGGTGCTCATTTACATATTTTAATATGTCTGCATATTATATTTAGTATTGGTTAGAAAGAAAGAGGAAATTGGAGACCAGTGACCTGATTGCAATTTTCAAGGACTGTCATTTACCTGTCTTAGTTTCCTCACCTGTACGTGTGTCCAACTGTACCCATATGGGTTTCTTGTGTGGTGTAGACGCATCTTCAGCGTGAGAGTGCTTTCTATGACATGTGTGTGTGCTGCCTGGCATCTGCTCTGATGTTCCACAAGGTGAATCTCTTTTTTTTTTTTTTCTTTTTAAGTTTATTTATTCAGTTCTTCCATGAGAGAGAGCGAGAGAGAGAGAGAGAGAGACAGTATTCCCAATAAGGTCTTGACTCCACAATCCACCTCGCCTTCAGCCAGCTTCTGGTCATGGGCAAACTCAAGCTTGGTGTATTTAGGGAGGTCTCCACACTTGAACTGTGAACCTTCCAATGCAGGACAGTCTCACAGTGCATCATATTTTACCTCTGCACCACTGATTGGCTATTTTGATACTTATTCCAGTTTCATATCTTTCCTGTGGACTGGAAAGGAACGGAGGGAGGGGAAGATTGAGGTCTTGAGCAGCCTGCAGGTGGCCTCAGACAGCTGGACTGCTGAAGCCATTCTAACTGGCTCCAGGTCAGCAGGGAGAAAGGCTGCCACTTGCCAGTCAGTCAGCAGGGGTCCCTATTATCTGTCTGCTGTGCACACAGCTAGGTCAGGTGATAGAATAACATACTGAGTGCCTCTGGGGGGTAGTGGGTGGAGGGAGATGAACCTCATTTGACCTCAGAGTTATAAATCAGACCTGCAGTTCTTGGGACTGGAGGTTGGAGTAGGTGGGTGAGCACTTCACCTACATCATTTGAGCTCCATATGGGCAGGGTCCCTGGTCCTGTAGAGACACCCACAGGGCTACACACCCAAGGCCCTCTCTGCTTTACCCTGAGGGATGGAATGTGCCTACACAGCTGAGACTCCTGGCTCTCTTTCCAGCTTGGAAATCCAAAGGTGTCAGACCTGAGAGGGGCTGGTCACCTTTCTGGTGCACGGACTGTAAGCCTGTGCAATCCATGAGAAAGAAGCAGTCTGTCTGAGCCAGGCCAAAGGTCTGCTAGTTATCCCTGGGGTCATGGGGGGTTGGGCTGGGGTTGGGTGAGAAGAGCATCACTGGGACTCATGAATCTCCAAGCTTCTCTGCTGAGGCCTTAGCACACGTGAGGGCTGTCAAAAGCCAGACCTAGTGAAGGCATGGAAGTCTAGAAGGGCATGATGGGGAGCTGCTCAGGTCAGAGTCCCTGGGGCTCTAGGAGCAGGTAGAGACACACAGAGAGTAGGAAGATCCTGTCTTCCACTGCCTGGGTGCCTGGCATCTTCCTGGGGCAAGCAGGGACCACTAGAGGGATTAACCAGAAAAATGTGGTCTGGTGTATAGTTTGGAAAGGTCCCAACAGACACAACTGCAATGGTGCAGGTGGTAGGGCACCAAGTGCGGTATTGGAGCTGGATGAGGGGGGCCGGGTTTGGATCCTAAGTCAACCTGAACATTCGAGGTGCACCTGCATATGTATGTGAGCCTGACTGTCTAGAAGGCTGGGGGAAAGATTGTGGTCTGGCCACACCTTGTCAAGGGTACCTCACTCTCTCTCACACACACATACGTATACTCAAAAATAAATAAATTTTAATTTAAAAAAAAGGAAGGAAGGAGATTCTTTATTTATTTATTTATTTATTTATTTTTGAGAGGTTTTTCACTATAGGGCGTGTGCGCTCGCCAGACAGACAGAGAAAGACAGAAAGCAGAAATCACCTCCCAGGAGGGATGGTCACGCCGCAATCCCTTCTCCATTCTCCTCTCGGGATCTTGGGCACGCACGCACACGCGCCCGGCATGAGTTTTAAGCCACTGGGTCCGGGACATGAACCATGGTCGACTACGTGGGAATCCAGCGATATAGCCATTACGCTAACTGCTGGTCCCGGAAGGAGATTCTGAGAAGGAGCAATCCCAAGAGCAAGAGTGAGGAGCAAAGATGGTGACCAGGACCAAAGGGCAGAGAGTGGAGAAACAGATAAGGAATCACACAGTGTAAACCTCCTGCTAGGCCTATTTCTTAAAGAAAATCTGGTTGAAACTGCATGGACTATTTTCTCATTGGTGCTGACCTCTGTTCTGGATGTTTCCTTTCTCAGACTTTATCAGAAACCCCAGTGAGGCATGCCATCTACCTTCTCTCTGGTGGCAGGGACGCAGGCAGCCACAGCTGGGTGGAAGGTCTCTCAGTCTTCCTAGTGTGCAGGACTCAGCCATGCCAGCAGGCTCTGTGTGGGAAGGGTTACTCAGTCACTTAATCTGCAAGGTGTGGGCAGGGCACCATCCAGACAGTCTGAGCACTTCATCACTGCACACCCAGTTGGGGTAAACTGTAAGTGGATCCCCTCAGGCCCGTGCTCCTCCATTGCTCCTTCCCGACATCTCCTTGCCGGTAGTCAGGGATCTGGCGGTAATCATGGTCAGCCAGGGTGTGGCCTGGCAGCAGGGCTTGCTGAGTGGCTCCACCTCCCTGTGTCCACTCTCAGCTCTTCTGTCCTTTCACCTTACTTGCGTCTCCCCGTCATTGCTTGCTTCCCTCAACGCCTTCCAGCTACCTGTCTCTACACTTCTCTAGAGGATTCCCCCAACCCTCAAACATACATACCTAGAAGGCAAAGTCTCTGCTGTGAAGCCGAAGCAGTCACAGAGCTGCACCAGCCTCACTGAGCACCCCATTCTCCCTGCTTAACAACTGCTGCCCTAACCCTTCCCCTCGCCAGCCTTGTGAGTACCCAACAGCCAGTGTGTGAGAACGGATCCACAGGTTCCAGGAGGCAGAACCATGGGCTGGTGAGAGGAGGCAGAGTATGGAGAAGTCCAGGGCTCAAAGACCTGTCAGTGTTTGACCACGCCTGATCCCTTGCCTTAGACTCTGAAGCATCTAGAATAGGCTGTTGGCTCCTCCCTAGTACCTAGCACTGCCTCTTGCTCATCCCTACAGGCCCTGCTTGGTCCCAGCCCATATAGTAACCTCCGGCAGAGATTTCCCACAGATACACTTCTCCATGTCTGTGGATTTACCTCTCTGCCTGTACCCTCCGAGCAACTGCCTCTCTGGGCAGAAATGGTTTCCGCTAAAAATTAAGATGGAAGCTCAGCTCCCCTGATGTCTCATGACCCTGGAGCACCAAGGGCACAAAGCAGGAATGGACTTTTCCTCAGCCAATCCATCAAGGGAATGAGGAGTGAGCCTTCCACGTCAGGGCAGAGGAACCTCACTATTGCTATCTATCTTTATCTATCTATATTTTTTGAGAGGTTTTTGCTATAGTGTATGGATGCTCACCAGAAAGACAGAGAGAGACAGAAAGCAAGAAATCACCCCCCCCAGGGGGGATGGCCACGCCGCAATCCCTTCTCCTTTCTCCTCTTGGGATCTTGGGCATGCATGCATACGCGCCTGGCATGAGTTTAAGCCACTGGGTCCGGTTCTCAAACTGGAGTCAACTGCATGAGAGTCCAGTGACATAGCCATTATGCAAACTACTGGTCCCAGTTGGCATATCTATCTATCTTAAATCTTTTCTTTCTTCTTTAAGGTAAAGGGAGAGAAAGAGACAGAAATTCCCAAAAAGGGTTTTCATATAGTAATTTACTCCCAGCTTCAGCCAGGCAAGAGTCCTATCCTAGGCTTGGAGGGAGATCTGGACCAAAAGGAAAGGTCTCCCCAGACATTCACAAAGGCAAAGAATGCTTATCTCTTTAACTAGTTGCTCCTGTATGGAGATGTGTGTCTTCATCGGCAATCTGGGTACAAATAGCTGCCACAACCAAGAGTTTTTATCTTTCCTTTCAGAAGTACAAGATTCAACAGCCAAGAGCAGGTGTAGACAAGGTTACCACTACCAGAAGGGAAGGGTTAGTTGGCATCAAGAGCCCCAGAAGACCCTTAGAGCTGAGGAAGGCAATTTTGGTGGCAACACCTAGAGGGA